CAGCCTATGGTGTAGTTTAATTGCCATCTTTCCCTCCTGCTTAGTAGCACGAAGACGTGATGAACCTGTGCTGGAGTACCTGGGATGCGCTGGTGGGCATTTGGTGCTTGGTGGGGGCATCGTCCATCGCAGTCTACCTGGCACAGAAAACCCCCTCTGAAAACCCCCAGTGTGGGGAAACAGGCACTGGAGCTGGGTAGGAGGTGGGAGATCGCTCACGGGTGACAGGGAAAAGAAAGTAGTGTTGGGCTGCCTGGGCATGGCAGGGATGGTGGGGTGGGAAGGGGGTAACTAGGGAAAAACCAGGGCGTTTTGTGGTCGGCACGTGAGTCCTCCAGGCACCTTCTGGGCTCCTCGCATTTCAGCACAACACCTTTGTCACTTGGGAAGCAGCTGGGAGGGAGGGAAGATGTCGTGAAGACTTGGTCTCTGCTCCCCTAGGGCTGCAGGTGAAGATGCCCTGAGGGGCCAGGAGAGGCTGTGCTGTTCGGTGGGACACTCTCTGCTCCCACTGCTGCTGGAGCACGGCACAGGGAAGAGCTGCGAGATGTGACAACCACCACCCTGAGGACTAAAGGGAGACGTGGGATGGTGGGAAACAAGGTTCAGATCCTTTCAGGGGCAGAAGAGAGGTGCAAGGTGCCATCTCCTTGGTCCCCTGTGTGAGCACTGGGCTCTCACCAGCTCCTGCCCAGCCTCTCCCTTCCCTTGTGCAGTAGGAAGCAAAACTGGGCTCCTCTGAGCACAGGCAGTGATTGGAAGGCAAAGGAACCAGCTTGCAGATGGACTGGAGGTGACGCGAGCCAAACCACCTGAAGCCCATGGATATACACAGCTCCGCAGGGCTCTGCTTGGCTCCCTCGGGCTGCATCCCTGCAGGAGGAGCCCTGCCACGAGGGACCAGGGACGGGCATCCAGAACCAGGTGCCTACATCCTGTAGGAACATCCGTGTGCTGAGCAGGGCCATTTCCCTCTGTACCTCGGGGGTTTATTCTTGCCTCTCCGTTTATCTCTGACTCTCGGGTGGAAGCCGCAGCGTGGGGCCGGAGCCCATTCCTGAGCTGCAGTTGCCCTCTGCCGGCAGCGGGACGGGCACGGAGCGAGGAGAGCCCCGGGACGTGGTGCTGCGATGCCCGTGGCAGGAGGATGGGGAGCACCGGGGGGGCCTGGGGCTGCTCCTTGTGAGGATGCTCCAGGAGGCCGATGGGGCGCAGGGATCACCCTGCTCGGGGAACCGCTGCAAAAGCCGTCCCCAAAGTCCTTGGAGCAAAGGGAGCCTGGTTTAGGCAGTGGTTAACACCAGCAGAGGCACAGAGGGGAGGGGGAAGAGGCTTGAACATGACCCCATCTCGCTGCCTGCGAGTGCTGGATGCTGCTTTCCCGGCTGCAGGAAGGAATCTGCTCTGTGCTGGCTCCCCTCGAGCTGCCCCTGGTCGGCTGCCAAACCTCACCCCGCAGGGTGGGTGCTCTCCAGTTGGGTTTCTTGATCCTGGTGGCAAAGGCGAGGGCTGCGCTGCTGTGGGGGTCAGCAGGAGAAGCGCTTTTGCCTTCCCCCCCCCGGGTCAGAGTGTGCGAGAGCTCACGTCTGGGCTGGCAGCTCCCGTCCCGGGAGGGCTCTTGTGGCCTCGCCTGAGTGAAGCTAATGTATTCCAGCGTCTCTAATGGGCAGCTAGGAGACAAGCACCGCTCCAGGAAGAAAGGCAGCTCGCCTGAATGCAGAGCTGCAACCAAGCAAGTCCCTCCCCAGCTGAGATGCTCTCAAACCTGCCTGTGTTGATGGGCTTTGGGATCCTGCCAGGGAGCTTCTCCTCCTCCATCATTGACCTGTTCCTCTGCGATCATAGAATCCCAGAATGGTTTGGATTGGAAGGGGCCTTAAAGCTCCTCCAGCTCCAGCCCCTGCCACGGGCAGGGACCCCTTCCATAGAGCAGCTTGCTCCAAGCCCCTGTGTCCAACCTGGCCTTGAACACTGCCAGGGATGGGGCAGCCACAGCTTCTCTGGGCACCCTGTGCCAGCGCCTCAGCACCCTCACAGGGAAGAGCTTCTGCCTTAGATCCAACCTGAACTTCCCCTGTTTCAGTCTGAACCCATCACCCCTTGTCCTATCACTGCAGTCCCTGATGAAGAGTCCCTCTTCCCTCATCTCCAGCAGGGATTTGCAAGGCAGATGCACAGTTACCCCCCACCACCACCCCGAGAATCCTTTTTTTGCAGGAAACCAGCAGCTTTCTTTGGTTCTGCAACACAACACAAGTATCCTCCCGGATGAGCCCAGCTCCGCAGAGGGACCGGGGTGCCCAACTCCCATGGCCACCAAATGTAATTAGATGTGTATATCTAGGCCAGGGGCTCAAGGGCCAGTTGGCACCTTAATTATTCATACACATACATATAAGTGCAGACAGAGCGCTCTTTATCCAGCCTGGGCCTGGGGGGGGGGGGGGGGGGGGGGGAGATTCCTGCTTACTCCAGGCCTTCTCTGGCAAAGCACGACCCTCTCTGGTGCTGTGTTGCCTTTTCCCAGTGCCACAGCCTGCTCCAAACTGCGAGTGCCCCCAACCCAAGGCACTGCAGAGATCCACATCGATGCTGCCTGATGCAGAGGTGCAAAAAGCCAGAAGGAGAAGAGCCTCCCCTTGGAAGGAGCGGGTCGGGAGGCTTGGAATCAGATGAAGTGCCTGTCAGGACACTGTCCCTGCAGGGATGTGCCCCAGCGCTCCCCCAAGGTGTCTTTTGCTCCGTGACTCATCAGCTGAGGAATTCCAATGCCTGTCTTTTGCTCCCAACCAACCCCAGGCACCACAAGGAAGCGGTTTGAGGACCTTGGTCTCTATCAGTAGCTCTTTACAAGTGATGCATTTCCTCCCGAGGCACTGGAGCTCTGCCAGGTTTTATCGGATGTAACCTCAGAGATGAAGCTGAAACGCGGCAAAATAAGGCTCTTGCTCTAGTGGAAGGTGCCCCTGCCCATGGCAGGGGGTGGAACTGGATGAGCTTATGGCCCCTTCCAACCCAAACCATTCCAAGGCTATGATAAGCTTCTCTGACCCACATCCACCTCATTGTTTCTGTCTTCCATATACCTGATGATAATCATCTCCACAGCACCCGTGTCATCGCGGGTCCATCTCTGTTACACCCATGGGGTTAACTCAGCGCTGTTACGTAGGAGGCTCTCATTTTCAGAAGCTCAATATGGATTTCAAACACAATTTCTATCACTCCCAGCTCTATATTTAGCCACCAGCTATTTACCCACCACTGAAAAGCCACCCACAGCTTCAGGAGCCTCTGTGCCGTCGCTGTCAGCAGCAGATGATATGACAGGCAGAAATGCAGTCTAATGGACTGCTATTAAAACCAAATCAGATTCAGTTCTCCCTGTGTTGGACTGAGCCGGTCCTGGGGAGCGATCTTGTTTCCATGGGGTGACACAGAGGCGCGAGGACATTTCTCTCCGAGGCATAGCAAGGGAACATTGCGCTTTCTCCTCCATGCACTTCAAACCACTTAGGCTGTGATTATAAAACAGGGCTCCTGGGGGCTGGAGCATCGCTGGATAAATGAGGTTCTGCTGCAGCGCGGCTGCAGGGCTGTGTTTTCCTCCTCAGGTACTGCTGGAGTTCATAGATCACAGAACCCCAGCCTGGTTTGGGATGGAAGGGACCATAAAGCTCATCTAGTCCCACGGGCAGGGACCCCTTCCACTGGAGCAGCTTGCTCCAAGCCCCTGTGTCCAACCTGGCCTTGAGCACTGCCAGGGATGGGGCAGCCACAGCTTCTCGGGGCACCCTGGGCCAGCGCCTCCGCACCGTCACAGGGGTGATCATCGCTGCGTTCTGATGCAGAGCACAGGGGTAGGTCCGCAGCTCAGCCCTGGAGGTGGGGCACTGGGGTTTGGGGAGGGGGGGACTGATGAATTTGAGGGGATTGCTCATGATTTATGGGTGTTTTCAGAAGGCTGAAACCAAACCTGCCCTTTCCCACCCCTCACCTCCTCCGGAGCCGCAGCTCCCGAGTGAGCCCGGGCACGGATCAGTGGAACGTATGTTCTGTTATAACGGGGATCGCTGCGAATGGTCTGAGCGCCTGGACAGAGGCAGCTCCATCGAGGCTGCACCCTGCTCCTCCTCCCCCGGCTCCCACACCCACACCGAGCCCCGGGGCTCCCGCAGCAGCTCCGGTAGCGTTTGCTCCGCGGCCGGGCTCAACGCCGCGGCCTGAGGGGACGGGCGGACAGCGCCAACCCCCTCCGCTCCGCGCCGCACCACGGCGCCGTCTGAGCCAGGCGCCCCCGCCACACAGCGAGCTCTACCGGGGAACCGCCCTCTTCCCAGCACTGACCAATCAGAGTGAGAACAAGCGTGACTGATAGCAGCTTTACCCTATCCCCAAGTGACTGACCGCATCCAATGAGATGCCTGGGGAGATTTTTCTGGCCCAATGATAAGCGAAGGGCGGGGCTTGGGAGCGGCGTGGGTTTCAGCCAACCAGAGCCGCCTAGGGGGGAGCGGAGAGCTGACCAATGAGGAGAGGGGCGGGGATAGAGAGGCTCGCGAGAGTTTGAGAGGGACGACGGGAACCCGCTTCTAAGTGAGCGGGCCAATGGGGAAGGGCGGGGCGGGGCCGCAGCGCGGCTATGACAACAGACAGGTAAGAGAGCCAATCAGAAGGAGGAAATAAGTTCGGCCCAATAGCCAATGAGCAGGAAAAGTCCTCCCACGGTCTTAACGCTATGATTGGCAGCCAAAACTCCCCAATCAGAAGGCCGCGCCCTTTCTAACTGCCCAATGAGCAAGCGGGGCGGGGAGGAGTGTGAGGGCGGGCTTTTCCCGCCCCCCTCCTAGGGCGCGCGAGGCCGGCCGGGGGAAAGACAGAGCGCTGAGCCAATCGGAGAGGGCGGAGCGAGGGGATGGGCGGGGCTTCGCTCTCGTTGGCCAATGAGAACGGCGGGCTGCCGCCGAGAGACCAATGGGTGGCGGGGTGGGCGGGGCCCGCTGCGGCCGCGGCTTCCAAGATGGCGGCGGGTGCGTGAGCGCGGCGGTCAGTCAGTCGGTGAGGCCGCCGGCGGGAGCAGGGCCGGGGCCCCGCCGCCCGCCGCCATGAAGGGCAAGGAGCGCTCGCCGGCTAAAGCCAAGCGTTCGCGGGGCGGCGGCGGCGAGGACTCGGCCTCCTCCTCCTCGTCGGCGCGGGGCGAGCGGAGCAGCAAGAAACCGAGCGGCTCCGGCGGCTCCAACGGCAGCGGCGGCAAAGCGGCGGCACCGGCGGCCTCCAACGACAGCAACAGCGGGAGCAGCCGGCGGGCCCCGCACGCGGACAAGGCCGGGCGCGCCGGCAGCCGCGAGTACGAGACCGGGACGGCGGCGGCGGGCGGCGGGGGCAGCCGGCATGGCTACGGCAGCGGGAAAGCGGCGGAGGCGTCGCGCAGCAGCAGCAGCCGCGGCGGAGGGGGTGAGTCCCGCGCTCCGGCAGCGGCCCCGTCCTCCTCCTCCTCCGAGTCGGGCGGCGGCGAGTACAAGACGCTGAAGATCAGCGAGCTGGGCTCGGCGCTGAGCGACGAGGCGGTGGAGGACGGGCTCTTCCACGAGTTCAAGCGCTTCGGCGACGTGAGCGTCAAAATCAGCCGCCTCCCGCCCGGCACCGGCGCCGCCGACGAGCGCGTGGCCTTCGTGAACTTCCGCCGGCCCGAGGACGCCCGCGCAGCCAAACACGCCCGCGGCCGCCTCGTGCTCTACGACCGCCCGCTCAAAATCGAAGCCGTCTACGTGGGGAGCGGCGCGGGGAGCAGCCGGCGCCGCGGCAGCCGCTCCCCGGCCCTGCTGGAGAAGGAGTCTCCCTATGGCACGGCAGCCGTAGGGGTGGCGGCGGCGGCGGCGGCAGCGGCCGTGCGGCACCCTCCGGCCGGGGCGACGCAGCGGGCGCTGTCCCCCGCGGGGAGCGGCGGGGCCCTGGGTTATCGAGACTACCGGCTGCAGCAGCTCGCCCTGGGCCGTTTGCCTCCTCCGCCCCCTCTGCCCAGGGAGCTGGAGAGGGAGAGGGACTACGGGGGTTTCTATGAAGCACGAGTGCGGCCGGCCTATGGGCTGGAGCGGGTGGCTGGTGTGGCGGCTGCCGGGGGCTTCCGTGGCGGAGGAGGTGGTGCTGGAGCTGCTGGCGAGGAGGAGATCAGCCCCGAGGACGACCAGCGAGCCAACCGCACCTTGTTCCTGGGCAACCTGGACATCACCGTGAGCGAGTCCGATTTACGCCGAGCTTTTGATCGCTTTGGGGTCATCACGGAGGTGGACATCAAAAGGCCGGGGCGTGGGCAGACCAGCACCTATGGGTTTCTTAAGTTTGAAAACCTGGACATGGCGCACCGGGCCAAGTTGGCCATGTCAGGAAAGGTGCTTCTCCGCAACCCCATCAAGATTGGGTATGGTAAAGCCACTCCGACCACCAGGCTCTGGGTGGGTGGCCTTGGGCCTTGGGTGCCCCTTGCTGCCCTGGCCAGGGAGTTTGATCGGTTTGGCACCATTCGCACTATTGATTACCGCAAAGGTGATTCTTGGGCTTATATCCAGTATGAGAGCCTGGACGCGGCGCAGGCTGCGTGCACCCACATGCGTGGTTTTCCTTTGGGTGGGCCGGATCGCCGGCTCCGCGTAGACTTTGCCGACACCGAGCATCGGTACCAGCAGCCCTACCTGCAGCCTCTGCCCTTGCCACCTCCCGCTCATTACGAGCTCGTGGCGGAGGCGGCTGCTTTTGGGGCTCACCGGGGAGCCCCACCTGATCCTCTTCGGGGGGCCCGGGACAGGACGCCACCATTACTCTATAGAGACCGTGACAGAGACCTTTATCCCGAGACAGAGTGGGTGGCCCCTCCACCCCCTGTACGGGATAGGAGTAATCGGGCAGCTGCCTATGACCCACTGGAAAGCCTGGAGCGCCGCCGGGATGGTTGGTCCTTGGAGCGGGACCGAGGGGAGAGGGAGTTGGGCAGTAGTAGTAGGGATCAGCCTAGGAAACGGAGACTGGCGGAGGATGGAGGCCGGCACTTGGACCGCTCTCCAGACAGCGAGCGCTCTTCTTCCTCCCGTAAGCGTCACTGTTTAACCACAACCTCCCCTCCGGACCGCAGCCCCGAGCTCCTTGGAGGGAGGGAGCGTTACAGTAGCGACCCCGAGCGCTCCTCCTCTCGCTTGCTCCTCTTGGAGCGGCCTTCTCCTGTCCGGGAATCTCGCAGGGGCAGCCTGGAGCGGGGGCAGAACGAAAAGCGCGACCGCAAGAATTCCGCCGAACGGGAGCGGAAACATCGCGCTTCCGCGGCAGCCGCCGCGCAGGAGTGCAAAAGTCCAGCCAAAAAGGATGAACGTGCTACGGAAGGAGGTGGTGGAGGCTCCCGCCTCAAACCTCCTCCTCAGAAACAGCAGCAGGACGGGGCGGCGCAAGCCGGGGGAGCCCCTAAGCTGTGCTTGGCTTGGCAGGGGATGCTCCTGCTGAAGAACAGCAACTTCCCGTCCAACATGCATCTGCTTCAGGGGGACCTCGGTGTTGCCAGCAGCCTCCTCGTGGAGGGAGCGACTGGTGGGAAAGTGGCTCAGCTCAAGATCACCCAACGTCTTCGCCTGGACCAGCCCAAGCTGGACGAGGTCAATCGCCGCATCAAAGTGGCGGGTCCCAACGGCTACGCCATCCTTTTGGCTGTGCCTGGCGCATCAGACAGCCGCTCTGCAGCCGGAGCTAGCGAGGCTGCCACCACCTCCACCCAGAGGCCACTCAGGAATCTGGTGTCCTATCTAAAGCAAAAGCAGGCTGCTGGGGTGATCAGCCTCCCTGTGGGGGGTAACAAAGACAAGGAGAACAGCGGGGTCCTGCACGCTTTTCCACCCTGCGATTTCTCCCAGCAATTCCTGGACTCCACGGCCAAGGCGCTGGCCAAATCAGAGGACGACTATCTGGTCATGATCATTGTCCGTGGGGCATCCTAAGGCCCTCGTGTTCTCTGTACCCAACCCTGCCTCTTCTTCCACACAGGCCCCTCCAGCGTGTGCCAGGTGCTATGGGATACAGCCTTAGCCAGCCCTGCTGTTGTTTTAAATTAGATCTTGATTTGTAGGTGACTTTTTTTTGCCCTGCCCGTTTTTCTGTTACTATGTGTTTTGTTTCTATAAAGTTAGAAGCCAGAAAGGTTGGATAGCCGATAGCAAGAATAGGGTACTTTGGGAATCCCCTGGCGGTGGGGACAGCAGGGAGGTTCGGCCTGCTTTGATTTACAAAAAAAAAAAAAAAAAGGAGAAAAAAAAAAGAAAAAGAGAGAAGTGGGGGTGGAGAGACCCAAATTCACCTCTTCTTAATCTCGATTCGTGTCCTTTTTTCATTTCATGTATTTTAAAAGCTCATCCTCAGAGTTCCAAAACCTCAAAAGACCAGATTTAAAGCACTCAGTTGAAGTGGGAAACCCCCCCCCCATCTTTACTAACAGACTGGTGTCATGGTTTTGTTTTGGAGTCCTTGAAATTCCATTGTGGCCTCAGGTCCAGCGGCCCCATGGGGGGCGTGCAATCCCGCTCCTGAGTGGTTTTCCCTTTGAGTTGCATGGCTCCGGGTTGATGTCCTCCAGGGGAGCAGCACCTGCTCTCGGGTACACTGCAGAGCATTGAATTCCTCTTTATTGGGTGTGTGAGGATCTCATCCAGCCCCTCCAAATGCATGCACTGAAAGTATGCTTTTTTAACAAGGTGTATTCCTCCTATTGCCCTCAGTTCTGTTGTATCCCATAAATGCACTTTGGGTTTGTAGCAGTGGCAATGGTTGGTAAAGAGCGGAGGACTTTGTTACAAACCATGAATGTCTTGTGCTTCCTCTCATATGCAAGAAACAAGGAGGTGCTTTAAGAAATAACTTTAGTTCTGTCGTGGGCTTTTGGGTTTTACTGCCTTTTTTTGCCCCCTTTTCAAAGAGTTGCAGGTACAGCACGGTCTGGTTCCAGAGTGCAAACTCTGAGCAAGTGTGCTTCTCTCCAGAGATGGTTTTAATTCTGTGAGAAGTTAATTACAGGAAAGTTCTCATTAACATTTTACCTCCTTGTTAATAGCAAGGAACTGCTGTCTGCTGGGGACTTTTCAGGTACAGTACAGTGGGCATTACATGAGGTTTTAGCATTTTATAAGCATCTGGAGGAAAATGGGGTTTAGCATCTTGGAGAAGTATTAAAAATACTCCAAGATGCTGAGGTTTGAGCTCTCATTCCTGTGATTCTAGGAGGAAACTTTGCTTATCGTTTTCTAAAGAACTTAGTTCATTTTCCCTTAGGCTTTTCCCAACTCATTGGGCACTTTTCTTCAGCTGCCTTGGCCACTGCTGATACAGGCATGAAGAAGGGATCTAAATCCCTGTTGTTTTGTTCAACAACTGAGGGGATGTTGCAGCTGGCTTCCAAACTGCAGTGTAAATCTGACTGTATCTATTTACAGGCCTCCAAATTGTAATCTTGCACTTAAACCCAGAATGTAGCCTTGCACTTAGCCATGTTTTCAGAGACTTGGGCAGTGTAAAAGTGATGCTGCTTTTCTCAGTCCATCCTCTCATGTATTCCTTGGGTAGCTGCTACCCTGTGTTTTCTGTTTCAACTTGCACCTCGAGAATCGAGTTCAAAATGCAGAATGGTGCAAATAGCAGATGAAGGAGGAACTTGAATGTATTTTATGGGCACAACATGAAGTGTGACCGTACTTGCTTGATATTCACTGTCACAAGATGAATTTCTGTGCTAAGCTTTACTGAACCACTCGTAACAGGGTGCTTTGCTTTAAGTGGGCTTCAGTTTCCTTTATCTGACTGAGAACTTGCACGTGGCAGCGTATCTTGAAACCAGATTTTGATTTTATAGCTACTTTTCTTTTTCTATGGAAACACAAAAGCCTCATTTAATGCTCTGAAATGTTTGAGGGTAAACTCCAGGATTTCTGGTTTGTCCTTCAGCGTGAATGTAAATCGGTCTCAGAATTCAGCTGTTCATCTTACTATTAACAATGAGAGTCTATCCAAATGACACTGGTAACTCGCATAATGATTTGTTTTGGAAGATACAACTTACTTACCACTTGTTGCAAAGAATGTCTGTTTTAATTCGAGCAGGTGCCTGTTGTGTGCCAGCGGCTTACCAACACTGCTGCGAACTCGCTTGAGGTGCTGAGGGGGTTTTCTCATTGCATCTGACCCAAGTCGCTTGCAAGCGTGGAGTTTTAAAGCCAACAAACTTGAACTGCTGGGAATTCAAACCTGCCCCAAATCAAAAAGTATGAAAGAAGCACTAATGTTGTTTGTGTTCAACATTTACACTTGCTGAGGACAGTGTTTGTTATGCTGATACGCAGCAGGCACCTGCTTTTAAAACCTGTAAAACTTGGGGTCAACATGGCTTGTCAAAGCAAACTCGGTATGGGAACCCTTTTGGAAAGAGCATCCTAGGTGCACTTCCCTTTTTCCTTGTAAAATAGAGGTGGTTGTACCTGCCACGGCCTTTCATGAGTCCAAATTGGGCTGTGCTGGAGGGTAAGAAGGACCAGGCGAGGCTGTATTTGACTCCAGGTTTTCTGGTTCCTTGCGGAGTACCTGCTTCTTTAAATCTGGTTGATTTGTGGTTGCTGCTCTGTTTTGTAAGCAAGGATTTTAACACCCTTTGAGGGTTCTTAAGTGTCCAAACTTAGTTGACTGGCAACATTTTGTTTCGCCAGCACTGAAGTTGATGTGCTGCCATCAAGGCTGGTGCAGCTTGGTTGGCTGTGCTTTTCTCTTAGGCTCTGAAGTGTGCACCATTGGAGTAACTGTCCACTAAACGTCGGCTTGGCCAGGGCTGAACAGAAGTAGAAGTGTAATACCACTTGTGTATAGAGCAAAACAGATGTAGCAGACTTCAGCTCTCTCACTGTGTTCAGCATTTACGTTGCTCTTAGCAGAGAGCTCAGTGTTTCTTCCACCGTTGTGTGCAGCTGCTGTTCCGCTATTTCATGCGTTTGTTGAATTAGCGTGGAAAAAGGATGTCCTTTTCCTGAATCATTTCATAGTTTTTGCTTTATGCTTTGGGGAAAGAACCTCAAATGACTCAGACTTTTGTTTAAGGTTTTATTACTGGCGGTTTTATTTTGCATTGGAAACTTTATGCAACTTCCTTGGCTGCCGGCCAGTGGCTTTGTTTGCTCCCGTCTCGTGTGCAGTCTGCTGTTCTCTGGGACTGCGGCGTGAACGCTGATGTTACCCTCAACTCCAGAGGTCTCAGGCTTCTGGGTTACAAATAGCATCGTAGAGAGAAGGGTGTTACATGCCAGGCTCACAAACCTCGCCTTCTCTCTTATTTTATCAACAAGGATGTTAAAGGATTGAAGTGTTTTGGTGCCTGGTGAGCGGAGAAGAGAGCGCTCTATTTCTTGCATTGGTTGAGGAGCCATCTGGTTGATGGTAACTGAAGTGAAAGGCCTTAAAGTATTAATGGGGAGGAGGGACTCAAAATTGGGAAGACAGGCTCAAAACTTCTGAGGACTCAGGGAAAAAAATGGCTTGGGAAATCACAGTTCCTGGCTTTAAGCAAACCAGTGTTGAGGGCAGTGCTCCTGGGGAGTCTGCTGTGTGCCTGTTGAAGTGGAAGACGTTCTTGCTGTTTGACTAATAGAGCTTTTGGGGTTCTTTCCCTTTTGTCTCTCCCCTTAGTACTTTCTGCAGATAGCACCAAAGGACACATATTCCAGTGAGTTATAAACGGAACGACTGGGTTGAGGTTTTGCATTAGGCTTAAAGCAGACCGTATGGTTTGGAGAATGGTTCATGGAATATTCAACTTCCCGCAGTTTTGATTGTGTGAAAATGATGGCTGAGAAATAGTACTTGAATAGTAACACTTCTGAAATCTATTAGGTGTGTCTTTGATTTAACCTTTTCTTTCATATTGGAGTTTTCTGCTGTTAGAATTCCACAGCAAAACGAGAACAAAAGGAACGTGGAACACTACATTTCCTATTTCTGTTGCAAAGTTGCCTTCAGGAATTGGTCTTTTGAGGAAAGCCAACTGAATTATCCCCAATTCCGTTGGTTTTTCTCTGGGTTAATTATTTTCATGTGTCCCATTAACTGTTACTGCAAGTTGAATAATCATCAGTACTGTAAGCCTAGTTTAACCTTGGTGCAAAAAGGAGCCCTGCACTACTTGTTCTGTGTCTATACCTAGGTGACTTCATTTCAAGGTTTCGTGCCCATGGGTGGTATTGGTGCTTTTTGAAGTCCAAGTAGAACATTCAGAAAGGCCTCATAGCTCTTTATATTCATCTGTATAATGTAGGGAGGGGAAAAAAGAAAAGAAGCAAATCTGTTGTATACATTTGTATTGAAATAACATTTTCTTTCCTCCTGCAAAGCAAAAGCTGGTGGACTGCAGAAGACAACCGCATGGGATACCAAGCTCTAATGGACCTTTGGGAAGAGAAGCTGTGGCTTATGTGGAATTTACATGGGCCTCTCGATGGAAGAAAGCTTATCTGTTTAGTATTTGTGCATTTTACTAAAATGGCAGCTTAAAAAAAAAAAAAAGTTGTGTATCTGCTATTGTGATGCCAATGCCCGTGTTTTAAGTGGAAAAAAAAAATGACCTCTTTGCTTTGTGCTGTGTACACAAGATTGCTGGAAAAGTAAAGGAATACCCTTTTTATGGCTCACACAGCTTAAAAGTAGCTGTCACTCAAAACATGCGCTCACAGTTGAGCTGATTTTGTTTCATTCTAAATAAATTGTTTCTTTTGAGGAAAAGTTGGTTTTTCTGCCTGGAAGTGAATTGACGACAAACGTTGTGACCCCCTTTGTTTGCAGCGGAGGGGTTCCGTGCTGCTGCTGCTGCTCACTGCTTGATCTCATAGTTGTGGGTCTTGAGCGAGAAGCGACGCTTTGGCCTTGACCAGCCTCGTGTACCCGAGCGGAAGGAATCTAGTTGATTGTCGTGCCGTGGCCCCCCCTTTGGCGGCAGTGAAAAAGGGGGGCACTTGCTGCTTTACTCCTCACCTTGACGGGGAAGCGGTGCTGATGCTGGCATGCAAGAAGCAGGGAAGCACCGCCCTGCATCTGAGAACGGTGGCCAAGTCTGGGGCTTCGCTGGTTCGAAGAGCTGGAGTTGCTGAATTTTAAGTTTGTGATTTCTTTTGTTCACCCACCACGTTTGGCTTTAGTTTTGATTCTGTCTTTTTTTGGTTGTTTTTGGTTGTTTTTTTTTGTTGTTGTTTTTTTGGTTTTTAAGTTTGAAGAGGAAAAAAAAAAAAAAAGCCTTGCACGTTAAAAAAACCAAAACGTTTTGCACCAAAAATGCCAAAAGAAAAAGAGAAATGAGTCCTTAAAAAAGTGTTTAAATGATGTTAAATAAAAGCCTTTCCTGACACGCGCGAGGCGCTCCTCCGTCTCCTGGGGCTCTTCAACAGTTATGCAGTGATGGGTTTAGTGCTGAATGGATGAAGAGTTCCTGAGAGCTAGAGTCGGTAATTTAAAAACCTTTGCGTTGGTGTCTCAGTGCCTTATTTTGACCGGTTTTGAAGCAAACGGTTCCACACGCCTCGGATGTGCATGCACCCTGATCGCGCCCCAGGTACGGCTGCGGCTTTGGCTTGCAGTCGCCTCCCTGTGTAGTACAGATGGTGAGAGGAGAAAAGAGGCGGCCTGACAATGTTGTGTGCTGTAGTTGCTGCATTCTCCTGGTACTGGGGGCTCCTGAGGTGTGGATGGCTGTTCCAGTGCAGGAGTACAACTCCGTGTTGGCTACAGGAGACTTCGGGGCACGTTTGACAACCGCAGCTATCAAGAGGAAGCTAACACTGCTGCATCGTTGGCTTCAGAAACCTCTCGTGGTTATGCTGTCTGTTAGAATTAATGTGACATGCAGATGAAGACACCTTGAAATGCAAGCTTGCCCTTGATTGCCTTGACATACTTTAACCTCCTGTGGATAACGAACCTAGTGCTGTCCTGCAGCCATGCGGGACCATTGCTAGGCTGTGCCTTTCACCAAAAGGATGCCATGGTTGTGCTCTCCAAGGTTCCTGGGGCAGAGAGCTGTGTAAATCCCTAAAACAGGTAAGGGGGTTTAAGAGGTTGAACTGAATTGTAATGTAAAAGAAGATGGTTTTGTTGTTCGCCTTTTTGTCCTCTCGGTTCTCCAGTATACTGACTGTTACTAACATACTTGCTTTGGATAATGTGCTGCTCCATCCTCTCTGGGGATGGGAATGAAGGAACCAACTCTTCAGTGTATCCCCTATGTTTGCTTGGGGCGTTCTTTGATGGATGGCGGGTTTCTCTGCCTACCCGGAGCAAGAAGCTGTGTGGGTGAATGGCCAGGTTTTCACTTGGCAAGCTAGAGCTCTTATGTTGGCTTGATAAACTGCTTGAATTAACACCGCTTTAACCCAGAATGCTGTTCATCATTTGTATGTGTTGATATGGAAAGCCAAGCGATGATGTGTTTATGGGGTGCTGGTATCAGCATTTACATGAAATAGTTGGTTGTAAATGGGAGCAATTGTGGATGTTGCTGGTGATGAGGGGAGCGGGGAGGGGAGACTCATGCCTTTTCTTCTAGAAGTTGATGTTTGTAGTTAAATTCACATGTTTGCAATGTATTTCCTGTTCTGTTGTAACGTGACCTCTGACTATGCTATAATTTGAAGTGGTGTACAAAAGGTCTGGGTTTGGTGGACTAACAGTAGGCATGTTTGAACCTCTAACTCAGCTGGGTGGCTGATGCCAACAAGAGATGAGTGATCTGTTCGTGCATCCCACCTGCGGGAGGTGGTTTTGGTGGGCTGGTTAGCTGCTTGGGCACGTGTTCCAGGGCTTGGGCGCTCTCCCACTTTTTGGGTATGCTTTGACTTGGATTTCACTGTGTGTTTCACCAGCAGCTTGTTCCCTGTCTCCTTTGCGTTATGTATTTATTCTGGAGACTTGGAAGTATCGTGGGATGTGGTGTGGGATGATTCCTCTGTGGTTGCTTTGTAACAGCGAGTTGTTTTTCGTGTGCTGGCTCTGCCCCTCTGCCTTCTGAATTGGTCAGAGGGATGCGTCAGCTGCCAGGTAAAGCCAGGCTCTTGTTAAAACTGATCTCTTTGAAGGGTTAAGTGCTCTATATGCATTGTATTAATTTGGCTAATGAGACTTCTGGGGAAAGTGAATTTATAAAGAGAGCCGTTGAATTCACTGCACTGCGGTAGAAAGTGATGCAAGTGGATTAGACGGGGAGCCGGCTATTCGAATTCACACGTTGCTTTAGAGTTGTGCTTTTACCAGCCCCGGCTGAATTAATAAGGAAGTTTAAGACATCAGATGGCCCAGATTCTGCTCTTTGTTAATAGCAAGCTTATGTTCGCCTCGTGCTGCTGGTTTACTAGGAAACAGCAAATGCTCTTTGAGGATACGCTCTCGGCATGGTGTCCTGGTTTTTGGTGTGAGGCGTCTGCCGAAAGGCCAGGAAGAGGAGTGGAAAGGATCTTGGGCTGATGGCTTTGTGATTCCCGTTGTGTCTCCTTCTGTTAGTGTCTGGTAGCTGTGTGCCCGAGTGTAATTATAGCTGCCTTGAGAACTGGGTGAAGTAAACTCTTAAGGCAGAGTAAGCTGCTGGAGGGCTCCTGTGCTGGGTTACCCGGAGCCGATTAACAAGAGCCTGCTGGTGTTTGTCCTATTTGCTCGTGACCTGGTGGACTTGAGGTGCCCCTAGAAAGAGCAGTGAACATGTACATGGGGGCACAAAGATCTCCGTATTTTGCCCATCCTTTGTATCCCCCTCCAGGGATGTGTTCATGGAACATGGTTGAAAGATCAAGGTAGGGATGTGGCAAAGGCACCGGTGTTGCTGGGGGTTGAGGAGGTGCCACCTCCCAGCTCAGCTCCTGTGCCTGTGCTGTTGTGTTGGAGCTCGTGTGTGTTTTCCCAGGGTCAGGATGGGTGCACAGAGGAGCCGATGAGCCATAGGTTAATTGTGGGTTATGATGTTTCGCCTGCCTATCTCCCTGCCTTGACCTTCATACCTAGTTCTGCAATCGGATCTGAATAGGGGTCTGTCGAGTTTTAGCTATCTTCAGTATTTCCTGTCCCCAGCTCCAGTGATAGGGCAGGTTGACTTACAGCACCACGTACTCCTGAACCCAGCATCCTGCCCCAGGCTGGCTCTTTTCCCTGTCATTGCTGCCACTGGTAGCAAGCGAGGTCTTGGGTCTTGCAGCCTGTGTCTCCTTCCATGTGCAGTGCTGTGTTCCAAGCCTGTAAAATCATTTTAGGTACGCCTGAGGACACGCAGGGTGCAGAGGGATTGCTGGCCACAGGAAGCCAGTGAGGTCTCATGAGGGTGGTTGTTAAGCTCTGGCTCCCAGTGCAGAGAACTTGGCCTTTGGGTTGTGGTGGTGCAGCCTGCTTGGCCAAGGGATTGGTTTTGGTTGGTGCCTGCAGTGTAGGCAGAGCCCAGCCCCATTGCCAGCATGGGGGGCTTCAGTTCAGAGCCCAGCACCATTGCCAGCATGGGGGGCTTTAGCTCAGAGCCCAGCACCACTGCCAGCATGGGGGGCTTCAGTTCAGAGCCCAGCACCATTGCCAGCATGGGGGGCTTTAGCTCAGAGCCCAGCCCCATTGCCAGCCTGGGGGGCTTCAGCTCAGAGCCCAGCCCCATTGCCAGCATGGGGGGCTTTAGCTCAGAGCCCAGCCCCATTGCCAGCCTGGGGGGCTTCAGCTCAGAGCCCAGCCCCATTGCCAGCATGGGGGGCTTTAGCTCAGAGCCCAGCACCATTGCCAGCCTGGGGGGCTTTAGCTCAGAGCCCAGCACCATTGCCAGCATGGGGGGCTTTAGCTCAGAGCCCAGCCCCATTGCCAGCATGGGGGGCTTCAGTTCAGAGCCCAGCCCCATTGCCAGCATGGGGGGCTTTAGCTCAGAGCCCAGCCCCATTGCCAGCATGGGGGGCTTCAGTTCAGAGCCCAGCACCATTGCCAGCCTGGGGGGCTTCAGTTCAGAGCCCAGCACCATTGCCAGCATGGGGGGCTTTAGCTCAGAGCCCAGCCCCATTGCCAGCATGGGGGGCTTTAGCTCAGAGCCCAGCACCATTGCCAGCATGGGGGGCTTTAGCTCAGAGCCCAGCACCACTGCCAGCATGGGGGGCTTCAGTTCAGAGCCCAGCACCATTGCCAGCATGGGGGGCTTCAGTTCAGAGCGCAGCACCATTGCCAGCATGGGGGGCTTCAGTTCAGAGCCCAGCACCATTGCCAGCATGGGGGGCTTCAGTTCAGAGCCCAGCACCATTGCCAGCATGGGGGGCTTTAGCTCAGAGCCCAGCCCCATTGCCAGCATGGGGGGCTTTAGCTCAGAGCCCAGCCCCATTGCCAGCCTGGGGGGCTTTAGCTCAGAGCTCAGCACCATTGCCAGCCTGAGCAGAGGTTTGGTGCAGGATGAGCTCTTCAAACACTGAGCTGCTGTCACTGAGGCTTGTGGGGACAGCACAGTGAGAAAGGAAATGTTCTCGTTTCTGTGCTGCTCTTGGGTGGCTGCAGACAAGACTTCATGTCTCATACCTGCAGCCCAGCTACCCCTGCACTAAGGCACAGCAGCAGAGATGCCTTCCCAGCTGTCAGATGCCCTTTACCAAGTGCCTTGGCTCTTTCTCCTTGCACACAGATGTGTGTCCCGGCAGCAGGTTGAGGCTGGTCCTGGGCACCCCATCCCTGCGACCACCCTTAACTCAGCCAGCGTGGCTGTAGCTCCCTTTGCTGCTTGACCAAAGGCTTGTGGG